GAAACGAATTCGAAATGTGTAGCTGCCTACATGGACATGGAATCTTCTACTCTCTTTCAAATTTCTTGCGATGACCATTGTGATGCCTATTGTCCTCAGTACGGTAGGTGAGAACTTCTACAGTATATCATATCGTTATTTCAATTATGAAAATACCCCCGCCCCCTCCCAGAAATATATATATTATACTCATCATTTCTCAAATTTTAATTTTTTTTTTCCAGGTGGGTCCAAGGTTAGTTTTCAAGGTTTCAAAGATTGGAAGGTTGCCCGGAAAATTTGTCAAAGTCTAAATAGTTCTCTACCAAATGAAGAGTTTACTTTAAATAACAGACAACAATTCAACAGAAGTAGTCTTGTATGCCTTGATGTTTTTAAAAGTTCATTTGTTTTATTTCGACCTGTCATCAAGCTTGCAAGAAAAGAAAACGGAACGATAATCATTAACGCTCCCATTGACTATTCAGAGAAACTGCCATATTTATGTGGGACAAAAGTAGGTAAGTATTGGAAAGTGTTGGAGTAAGGCTTTGTTTAATTCAGTGTTGTTTGTCTTTTTATTATGTCTGCAAGATATCCCAACAAGGACCCATGAGCCACAACGCTCACCTGAGTTACAATGGCCCTTTTGTTCTTTGTCAGCAGATTTTTTCCTTATACATTCCTATGTTAAATTAATATTGTGGCCCATCCCTACCCCTAGGCATCATGATTTGAAAAATCTTGAATCTAAACTACATGAGTATGCTTCCATAAAAATATGAATAATCATGTCTTTGCTGTTTTTGAGAAGAAGAATTTTAAAAAAAAAAAATTCCTGTGCATTCCTATGTAAAACTTTGACCGCCTATAGTGACCCCATCCTACCCACGAGTGCCATGATTTGAACAAACTTAATCTACACTACCTGAAGACGCTTCAAAATAAAAATAATTTACAGACTCTCTGTACACTTCATGCAAACTTGTTTTTTCTTTTACATGATGTTGTACGTATTTCTTATATTGTTTATACTAAAACCGCAGCTTGATGCTTTTCCTTGAACAATGATAAACTTGTCAAGAGAGTCCAATATAATTAATCCCTAATAGTATATTAAATTTAAAAGAAGTATGATAATATAGAGCAGAAATAGGAGAAAATTTTCAATGTAACGTTATATATTTACCCACATGTACAGGCCAAACTCTGTTATAAAGCAAGTTTTCTATAACAATATTTTAAATCGCATTCTAAAATTTCAAATTATAGGAGAAATATAGCACTCAAAGGGACAACGATACTTCTAGGATGCAAAGCAAGTTGACTTATGAATATGCTTTTATTGATTTGAACGCCGTAAAAACGTAACAAAGCACTAGGACTTGAATTTGAGAAATTTTTAGCGTAAGATAAGTGTTTTGTAGAAGAAAAAAATGAAAACATTGTATTTATTGCAGTATTTACCAGTATATCTTTCAAAAAACTTACCATGTAGTTAGTGCGTGGAAGCATATTAGCAAAGATATTTTTTAAAAGAATAGTCCTTGTTCAAAACTTGAGATACATTTCTTTGAATTTTAAAGGGGGACAACTTCTGATTAGTACTCAAATTCATGATAGATGAATACATGTAGGCTTATATGCTGGTTATGAAAATATTCATCGTTAAGTTTGCGCGGCTTACACTGATGAGATGCATTCATTATTTCTCTTTTTTTTCATTTAGACACAGGAAAATCAAATTTAAGAGACTGCAATATGATGACAAGTGATTTCGACGAATCCAATACGAGGGATACAACTACAGAGATTTTGCAATTTCACACAAACATGCAACCAAAACCAGACATTTGTAAAGTTCCATTTATTTTGTTACTAGCATTTCCGCATTTCTATATATTACAAAGCCTGAAAATACCAGACAGTTAAAGACTAGTTAGGGTCAATCTAATTTTATTTCTTAGCAAACAAGGAAAGTACATTGGAAAAATTTTTTAAAACAGAAATGGTCGACTTTCTGAAAGCTTAAGCAGATAAAGATTCCCAACCGCGCTATCAAATATGAATACCACGATTAACCATTCGCAGCTGATCGCAGAAATTCTATTGAATTTTAGGTGATGTGAATCGACACATTTTTATACAATTCATTTCGATTTAATATGATACTGTCACGATTGGTCAATTCAGATAACACGATCAGATCACTGTTCAGATACGATCACTCACGTTCTGAAAGGATTGTCCCGATTGAATGCACGCGATTTGATCTCGATCTGACACGATTATCACAATAGTGGTCCCCTATTTACATGTAGAGCGATTGGGATTCGTGAGGGTATTCATTTAATACGTTAATCACGACTTGATACGATATGTTTTGATAGGATGATTGATGTTATGATGCTTTTCATGATCTAAATAAAGCGTTATCACAAATTGAGTAATGAATTGTCCAGGTTAGTATATTTTCAGTCCGACCATGGATTTTTTTTTTTTTACTGATGAGAAAATGTGAGAATTGGTATAAAACAGTTTTGTCGTGATTAAAAAGAAAAAAAAAGAAGATTTGAGTGCATCGTAAACATTTTTCTCAATAAAGGTCCGTTAGGGAATATATACAAAGGGACTGCCCATCTTATACGTACTATTTTCTGGCATTGATATGTACTTTGTAAAGTAAAAACGCAATTCTGAATAGGACTGCAGTTTGTTATAGAATCAAGATTTCCAAAGAGACAAGGTCATCAATTTTAATGTTGGACATTGCAAGACATAGAAATATGAATGGTGCTTTCTTTGTTTAATGCCATGCGTTCTTATGAGATTATCATGATTAAAAATTAATTGTGTTGATCGTAGAAATGTTTTTGACTTGTCAAAAAACTTACTTAGATCAACCAGAGAGAGATGACTGATCTTAAAATCTGGTTAGATCTCCTCTTAAGCAGGGAAGAAAGTCTTATCAATGAATTTTTTTTTCAGCTGAAAATTCACGGTTGACGATCATCATAGCATCTTCCATTTTTGGACTTCTTTTGATCGTTTCGATATTTGCTTGTCTCATCACAAGGTGAAGTAAAATATGAAAACATATATATTCGTCAAACCTTCAATGATTTCCACAGGTTAACTCTTAAAAAACAATATATTTTCTTTAACAACAAATCTTTGTAGAATATTAAAAAGAAATCAAGGAAATAAAAGTTCCACTACAGACGTGTTATTAGATCTTTACTCTGAACCGATTCCTGGGCCAGAAGAAAGCCAAATGAAAACAAAGGGTCACATTAAAGCTGAAGAGGAATCAGCGTATTCTGTTGCAGATACTAAAGATAATGAATATTCACAACCCCTCGTCAACAGAGATAATAATCGACAAGGACCTGCAAAAGCTGTTACCTCTATAGACAGTGAATATGCTGATACAGATTTGGGTGAATATGATGTTTTAAGAAGCCAAAGAACGAAACGCACCGAGAATGCATCATCGCATTGTGAATTTTATGACAGGACGAATAATGTGGTCACAGGTATTTATGACGTCACTTCAAATACGCAAAACGCAAACGAATACTCAATGGCTGAAAACGATTAAAAACAATAATGCAGAGTTAATAATTCAGAGTTAATAATTCATTGACTTTATCGGAATGTTACAGGGCATTCTCATTTACATAAGGCAAAATTATTGTGCAAAAAACCTCCAAAATATTGAATGCGAAATGCTTGAGATTTTCAGAAGTTTGCTTCTACATCAAATATATAATAAAGTACATATATGTAATTTGTATTTTCCAACTCAGATGGAGAGTGCCGATAGGGATAATGTGTATTTTTATTTGGTATAATTCCCCATGACTAATTTTTTTCCCAATGACATATATACTTTTAACATATTTTAATATTACGATCACAATACAATTTGAAAATAATAAATTTGTGTAAATTGTTTTATGTAATAATGGTGATCTGACAAAGTTCCATATCATACAGACCAACGATCCAAACATAATATAACACATATATTGTGTGAATATTGTAATTTATTAGATGACAATACATCAAATATTATCATTCTGTATAATGATAACAAAATCAAGCTAAGGGGAGATCCAGACAATATACTACTGACAGCAGAAGTTGCTTTTGTATAAATTGTTTGAGTCATGTAGAATTCACATTCTGTCATTTTACCAACTTTTATACAAATGATTTTGTATAATTGTATTCTATTGTATTCTATCGCTATGGACGGTTAAAATTGCTTTTGTATAAATTGTTTGAGTCATCTAGAAGTCACATTCTGTCATTTTACCAACTTTTATAGAAATGATTTTGTATAATTGATTTCTTTTATATTCTATCACTATGGACTGTTAAAAATCTGTTTTACGTTAAAATAATTTTTCAAACGTGTTGATATCAATCATGCGATGAATTGAAAATGTCGTACAAAAGAGTTGTTTTGCAACAGAAAATATAAAACCTGCCATTAATTGCAATAAAAATGTCCGCCTATTTTGGCCAATGTGAATTTTCTTTAAAGTTAACTTAGCCTTTTGACCCAGGGAAATCTGTGATATTTTTTATTAAAAATATTTATTTTTTGAAGACCCTTAAGTCGAATTTGTTTTTATCTTCTTGATTTTATCAAAGTTGGATTTCCTGTAAACATATTTCATAAATAGATTATTTGCATGATGAGATTTTGGACTGAAATGATTTGAAACATAATCATGCTCGGAAAATGAATTTATTAATCGGATTTATGTAGTGAATGCATTATAAATCCATTTATCACAGCGCCCCACGTGGAAGGATGCGCGCGCAATATATGCGCAAGCATTTGTACATTCCATTCTCACACCATTTCCAAATGTTGCACGTTTAGGGTTTGCTGTGAATTTTTAAGAAAATTTAGAATATTGCACAATGACATTGTCAAAAGACTGTGGTGTACAAAGACGAGGTTTTACTGATTGTTTGCACTAATTGTACCGTTAGTGTACTTCAACATGCTAGAGTTTTCGACTTCGCGCCGAAGGGCTGTAAAGAGCGTATGGACGTTAGCCGAGGCTCTTACTTGTAGGAGTATTGTTGCTGTAAATATTGACCAAGATGTCCACAACATCTATAGTCGCCAAAGCCAAACAAGGCATTACAAAACGGAGAGAGAGAATAACGTCAATACCAGCGCTAGCAATGAGGAGGACATGCATAATACTACGACACACAGCACAAACGGTATGTCATCTTGTATGCCTACATCAATTATTAGTATAATGTTTTCACTGTTGTATCAATTACATTTTTAAAAAATGCACAAGAAAATACTAAATGTTCAGTTAATCGATCATTCTGTTAAAATCAGTGGGAAAAGGCAAAGAATAAGCTAGTCATTACAATTGGTTTTATTGTATTTAGTAGACTCTAAATTTAAGCACACCCCCTTCAACCACAGAGTTTAGAGCAATATAAATATAATTATGCACACGTTAAGATTGGGTTCCATAAAACTCCCATTGACTTGAATTAATTTAACCTCATACTCTCAAGATCACGCACTCGGCATCGTCGGTCATTGTTCCGATGTTGTAAGCGCCCGAGTATATACTTCATGGAGCCTTAATGTTATCAATATATGAGGCTATAATAATAAGACTTATTTATCTATTCACCAATCAATGAGCTTTGAAAGGGTGGCATATATATATAATTTATAAAAACAATACAATTACGTTTATAGCAAGTAATGGCTGCATTACGTGCAATATTAACCTGATCCTCACTTGTAATCTTTAACTGCCCTCTCTAGCATCCCTCATACAATTGAAAGACTAGTGTTTTGATGCCAAATATCGTTACTTATTGTGTATATATGTGCACATTGTTATAAAATATGTATTTTAAGCTTGTTCTCCCTTCGATTAACATCTTCGTGTCCGTCCTCAACAAATCAGCAACTCCGGCCTGGGGAAACACTTTTTGAAACAGAAAACCTTACATTTCGTTACTCCTAGGCATTCAATTAATAAACATCGGTCATTCTTAAGTAAATATTAAACTACTTCCAATATTTATGCATGTCATGTTCCACCAAAGCAAGAATTAGGCGATGAGTTGAGAAATGGTTTTAATTTAATTTAGGGCGCATGGAGTGAAGAGCAAATTAATTAATTAATTAATTGAAATTAATTTCAGTAGATCTGTATCAAGACAAATTCAGTATATGTTGCTGAGTGAAATAGCTATGGCTGTTCCTTTTCCTTAACACCTCTATCAAAACTAGGCCCATAAATCATGGAGGGGGATCAATATCCACATAACAATAAACCCAAAAATTTTATAGATTGAGGGCCATAATCGGTATGATAGCACCATTGATAAGATCTTTACCTGGCAAAATGGATACAAAAAATATCGTTTTTAGACTATTGTCTAGAAAACCAGATGATTTTTTGCTTACTTGGCTTCGAATAACTACTATGTCAAACGCATTCCATTTGTTGTTACACATCGTCACAAATAAATAAATAAATAAAGTGATTAATAAATTAATTAAACACAAATGAAATATTATCTTTTTTCAATGGGTCGTCAGGTCACAACCTGGTTCGAAATATGAAAAGCATTTATTTATCTTGATGTCTTTCTGTTTTGCAAGTTCAGCTCACGCCAACATTTGCTCAAAATTGATGACACGTTTGGCGATTTTGGTCAGCATTGGGAATTCTTCAATGCGTTGAACATTTGTTCCCGTCACAAAAATTAATTCATCTGGGTTTGGAAATTGATACATGTCAAGTTTGTATTCTGACGAAAAGCTAATCAAACCTAAGATTTTGCTGATAGGAAGGGCCAATAAATCTTAAAAGTCACTTCAAATGAAATGCAATTCTTTTAGTGCCGTCTTACCGCGCTGTTACCAGCGTTCCCACGATGCAATGAATGGCATAAAAATTGCAGCAACTTTTCATTTGTATAAAGACCATTTGTTTTTATGTCATTTAAATTTTGAATCACTTTATATTTATTTCTTTACGATATGGCTGATTAAGCAGTAATTTTCTTTAGCTGAGCACGGTAAGCGCAGACGGAAGGCATACTGGCTGCGGGAAAGCCAGCATATGATTATACAACTATAATTGTAGTAAAGTTATTTTGGTTACGATTAGATCACACAACTTTATAAACAGACGTCAAAATATGTAAGATCTATACAGTTTGATTTGATGTTTAGTATATTTATAAATGACTTATACACGTTTTTAGATTTTACCTTATTAAATTGAGATCTCCATCTTAGAATTACTTGATCACACTTCACATGTTACCATCACGGAAGTACTATTTCATTTATCAATATTACTTACATATACAGTGTCAAATTTTACAATACACAAATACATGTATAGATTATTTAGTATGTATACACATAAATTGTTTGTACTGTTTGTAATTGTAGAAATCATGCTTGTTGTTTGTGATGCCTGAAAGGGCCCTGATTTGGAAATAAAGAATCTTATCTACCATACTATCATCATCAATAAATAAATAAATAAATAGTGTATTCCATTTCATGTTCTCATTAATGTTAATATGTATCCAACAGTAGATAATTAACTATCTTTAGTAAGAAAACCTTTTTATACTAAGCACTTTAAGTTTAAACTCGGCATTGCATAAGTAGAACCTCGTTATAAACGAGTACTTTCATCACGTAGACGTTAAACTGCAGGGGGGGGGGGGGGGGAGGGCAGTAGGGTAAAGAGACACAGTTACTCTCTGTATTGTTAATTATTAGTCATGCACCATTGTTTACGAATCAGAGCAAACATTCCTGGTAACTTATTATTTATATTAACCTTAAACTACATGTGTTGCGTCTCAATATAAATATATCCACTACACATGTATATTAATATTCTTTTAGAACTTGAAAAGCTATTACTTTCATGCGAATCAATTCAATTATTTGGAAGAGAACAATTTAAATGTTATCATTCATAGATTATAAACCCTGCAGTTCAATAGAATAAGAAAGACATTTGAACTTTTTCTCTAGATATTTGGTTCATCTGTTCATTTTAATCACAGGCTTCTATAGCAGTAAATTTTAGTATGTTGTAACAAAGCAAGAGAGTAATGTGCTAGAATGGGGTTCCTAATCCGATATTCTATTGCGGGGCAAATGACCTTGGCTGTGTAAAGATATGCACTGCCGAATCCTTAAATAGTTCAGTAAAGTTAACTATAGGGTCGTTTCCAGATGTGATGGGAAGTTCGATCAGGAAAAAGATCGCAAAAGTAATTAACTCAGTTACCAAGCATAATTAATCTAGTTACAACAGAGGATATTTTATATATACAATTCGTCTGGCAGTAAGCTAAAATTTTTAAAAGCGGGCTTAAAAATAGTGAACTGCCAACTTGATTTAATATTATCATTTATAGTAGTAGTAGTATCATTGATATATATTCTGGGGGTCACGGCTGGTTTTGTGAGTAGAGTGTTAAGCTACCCCCACGTTTGTGGCGGCGTGCATATTACATGAGTAACTATGCACGTTTGGCGGATTTAGCTTAACACAATTCATCTCGACTAGCGCCGCTGTGAACAGGGCGCGGCTGCAACATAATTATTCTGACAACTGGTCAATGGAAAACAATTGACAGAACATTGATTAATTGAAATATTGTTTGGCTTAAACATAAACTTACTACAATTCATTGAATTGAGTGAGTATTGATTGATTGAACATTGATTGATTGAACATTGATTGATTGAACATTGATTGATTGAATATTGAAACATTGATTGATTGAACATTGATTGATTGAATATTGATTGATTGATTTAATATTGATTGATATTATTGAAAATGGATTGATTCATTGGACTGAAACTTTTTGATTGATTCAACTGAATATTCATTAATTGATTGGATATTCATTAATTGAATTGATAAATTTATTGATTGATTGATTGAACTTGATATTGATTGATTCAATTGAATATTGATTGATTGATTGAATATTGTTTTATAAGGCTGGCGCACCGCAAAATTTGGAAAGCAAACGCCAGTCTTATAGTGTAAAAAATGACATGTGTACAGTTAATATTGATTGATTGATTGTTTGCTTTGATTGGAGGTGTGCCAAAAACCAATTGGGTCGGCACCCACTGAACACATGTACCTTAAATAATTGATCTGCAACCAGCCGTGGCCATATGATGCCAAACTTAATAAATAAATAATTAAGAAATGGTGTCACTTGTTTTTTAGTGGTAGTCTGTGATAATCGGATTTATGTAGTGAATGCGTTATAAATCCATTTATCACAGCGCCCCACGTGGAAGGATGCGCGCGCAATATATGCGCAAGCATTTGTACATTCCATTCTCACACCATTTCCAAATGTTGCACGTTTAGGGTTTGCTGTGAATTTTTAAGAAAATTTACCCGCCCTTCCACACCCCATATTACTTTGAGTTGTTTTCTGCGCCGAGTTCTTTTCATTTCAGAGAAAGAGGCCTAAGGAGCCAAGCTGTCAATCATTCTAAGACCTTGCCTTAGTCACGACCGGCCAAAGCTGCCATTCCTCGCCATACAGTGATGAATGCTATCGTGATGGACACTTCCAAGTACCAGAAGGAAGGATTTCGCTCACCCAATCGTATTGGCTTATTGACTCTAAACAGGGTGAAGCTGCAACACGATAACTATCGATCAAGGACTAGACAACACCCATCGTCACGGCTGGTCATCTTATTATGCGGACAGTATTGTCTCTGTAATTGACAGAGCGAAGAGCCAATTGGAGAGATACATGTACATCGTATAGCGCTTAACACAAATCATCTTGACACGCGTCGCTGTTAACAGGGCGCAGCTGCAACTTGATTATGTGGATAACTTATCGATGGAAAACAATTAATTGACTTGATAATTAACACAGAACATTGATTAATTGAAATATTGTTTGGCTTAAACATAAACTTACTACAATTCATTGAATTGAGTGAGTATTGATTGATTGAACATTGATTGATTGAACATTGATTGATTGAATATTGATTGATTGATTTAATATTGATTGATATTATTGAAAATGGATTGATTCATTGGACTGAAACTTTTTGATTGATTCAACTGAATATTCATTAATTGATTGGATATTCATTAATTGAATTGATAAATTTATTGATTGATTGATTGAACTTGATATTGATTGATTCAATT